TATGTTTAAAACGTACTTCACTTTGCCCTCCAAAAAGTCCTTGAAGTACTTTGCTCATGCACAGCTGGGAGAGCACAATTAACATGCACAATTACAATGTTCTCATCTTTCCTTACAGGGACAACTCCAGCTTTTTCTGTGTTCTAATTTGAGTTTGCTACTAATTTGTCAGCATTCTGTTTTCCCTCCTCTTCTTCGGGTCCTTTTGAAATATTTTGGCCAGAACAACAGGTCATTTTTCCAAGCTGTTTTTTTCTTACACAATATGCAAGCTCAGACAGCAATGATGTTTTTCGGTAAAACATAATTTCTGATAGTTGTTTACCCAGAATCACCATCTTGAAAAGGATTTACAGGTAAGTAAGATAAATTCTATGGGAAAAGCAGTATTTTTTTTTTTTGTAGACTCCCCCAAGCGTTGAGGGCTGGAGGGCAAGAAAAGTATTAGGAGAAAAGAGCCCCTTGAGTACTAGAAAAAAAACCCCACCATTCCTTATGATTCTTGCTTTGCTACACCTTTACAACATTATAGTTAAAAAGATTACTTGAAGATCATATTACAAAATACACCTCCCCCATACAGACAATATAGCCTATAGCTTACAATCTTTCTAATTATATTTAGAATTTCAAGCTCAAAATTTAGGTTTAAAAATAAAGCACAAGTCACATCTCAAGATACTACTTTAAGCTAGGAACTCATTAGATGTTACCTCCTTCGACCAGAAAGCAATTCTGCCAGATCAGTTCTGCTGATGAAGAGGAAACATTCACGATCCGCCGGCTCTCAGCCAAGAGCTCTGTATTTTACTTGTCGATATTGTCTTGCATTTCCATTTACAGGACTAATATCCAGATGGCACCCCAAGTTATTCAACCAATCTTGTCTCAAAACCTGTCTCTAGTTACCATAAGTAGAAAATTCTTAAATAAATACAGAAGTCTGGTCTCAACAACAAAATGTGGGGTTTTTTATAACATTGTGATGACGTTAAATGGAAAGTCCGCAAGGCAAACTCAACAAGTAGGTGACAGTGAAGTCACCTGCATGTGATGAAAGCAAATTCAGAATCTTCAGTGTTATTATGTAATACTCATTAAGCCTCACACATTAAACAAATGCACATGCAAGATAATAAATGAAGTGGCAAACATTTTTAAATAACATCTTTAATTAAAGTTTTTGCAAAGGCAAAATATTAAACTTAAAATAGGTCTTAGTACATCAAAATACTAAGTTCTCTAATCGTATTCCAAGCATGGCCTTTGAAACATAATATCCTGTATATCACAGAGGAGCAACCTTGATCTGCAATTGTACAGAATGAATTTTACAAACATAATAAATATATTTACCCCCTCACACATAACAGTATATGTACAACAGCAGTTGACAATAGTAGCTCAGAACAGCAAAAAAGGATATTCCCCCACTCCGTAATCTATTGGTACCCTATGCACTCTGGAACGTGTCTCACTGGATGACTGTACATATAGCTAACCCAAGGTACTTCTTCCTGTTAAAAAAGCTCTTTTTGTTCCACAATGTCTAATCCACCAAATAATAATTGAAAGACACACTGCACGAACTGCCTGAAAAAAGCACACAAGAGGGAAACCAACAGACTGGGTTTTACACATTTCCCAACCTACCACAGCAATGGGAAAACGAGACTTTAAATGCCAGACACCAATACGTAACAAAGTGCAGGTTTCTATCTCTTGTATAGTCACTGATCTCAAAGTCTGAAAAGACTTCAAATTTTGGCGGGGGGTGGGTGGTGTTTAAAGGAACTTTGACAAATTGAAGAGACTGAATCAAAATGAACTTTCATTAACAAGGTCCCTAACTCCTTCACTGGAATTCAGAAATTTTAGTCTGGTAGTGTTATGTGGTGACATAATTACTGCTAACTGTCAAACAGTGGAATTATTTTCACAGACTCTATGAAGTTTACTTTAACACTCCTAATTGTGCAGCAGAAATAGAAAAAACATTTATAAAAAAACCAATCTGTTACATGACACAACATGTTCTTTGCTCTTTCTAGAAACTGTGCTTCAGAATCATGTATCATATTCTCGGAAATAAACTCTGACCACAATTATCACTTTAAATCGTATTTAGGAAACCAAATGATGTTTAAATGCAACTTGTGAGTACAATGAAGGAACAAAGAGTATGAAGCCTCAAAGAAATCTTCTCGCTAACCAGCAACTGAGGGGGGAATAAAAACATATTTTATTTAAATAGTCCAATATAAAGTTCCTTATGTGACTAAACTCTCTATTATCTCCTTAACAGAAAACATTTCAATTTGTTTTCAACTTAGATGTTTTAAAATGATTGCACACACTAAAACCCAACAGAAACAGAGCAAAAAAAGTTGCTTTTGTGATTGAAGCACTGCAGGAAATTTACTCTCTCAGGAATAAAAAAAAAAAAGTATTGTCATACTGGCAAAACAGGTATTCTGCAAACTGAAAAGGCACAAGACTCCCAATTTTGCCCAGTTGCTCTACAAGTTTCCATCAGCCATCGTGGTTATAATTCTGAAGTTATCTGTCCCCATTTTGTCCATCATAAAAAGGTGCTCCATTATCTGTGCAAATTTTAACATAAGCCCTCTTGAAATACTTGTTTCCATAATACTGAACTATTTAAACGGGGGGCGGGGGGGAACCCAACAAAAAAGACGTATTTCCAAGGGGGGGGGGGGAAATCATTTATGAGCTATGAACATGGGAATCCCTTGCCCTCTGAAAGGAATGGTTTCTTTGGAACCTAACAAAATGGTCTGTTCAGTTACATTGTTAAAACCATGATTAAAAATTCAAGTACAATAATAAAATTAAGCAAACTACATTCTTACAGCAAGCTGCTACAATAAAATGAAATTAAAACATGCTTTTTGATTTAAAAAAAGGAACACTTGATGTAGCAATAAGAGCACAGTTTGGTATGTTCATGTTTGACTGGCTTTCCAAAAACTTCACAGGTATTTGTATTTCAAGACAAAACTTCTTATGTGAAAAGCATACCATACAATTAGCCTGCAAGAGACTGTGCAAGTTCAGAAAGCTTCTAACATCCTTCAGAACCGGCTAAGCTTAAGTCACCTTTAAAGTTCTGCTATCCTTTAAAAATAAATAAAAAGGCTATGCAGCTTCTAGTATATGTATGTGGGTGAAAAAAATCACTAAGATGTATGAAAACAAAGTGTTGTACAAGTAATCTGGGTTCCAGTGGTATAAACAGGAATCTATACCTAAAGGGATTTTTTTTTTTCCTTTTATCGGTTTGGTTGTGTAGCGTTACGGGAATTTCTCTGAAGTCCACTACTTAAGACTTACTGGTAACAGACACGGAAAAGGTGAGGGAAGGATTAAGTTGGTACATTATTGATTTCATTACAGTTGTACATAGAAGTGTCAACAGTGGCAAAAAAAGTAAAAATAAAATATCTGCTTTGTTCAGAAGAAAGCAAACACCGATCAGTTTGAGGTACTTTGAAGCTCCAAGCCAAAAATGCACTCTAAATGATGATTCCATTGCTTAAGAATGAATTAGAAGAAACATCAATTAACTTTTCTTAAAGCTTATGTATGTAGATGGCTTATGAACAACCATACGGCTCTAGACATAGCCTACAGGCAGTTTTAGTCTGTATCAACGAGCACATGGGTGTACAAAATCACAGCAAAAAAACCCTCATTACAATGTGTTTTGAGTTTTGGAGCCAAGTAAATTAGAGAGAATAAAAATTATAGCAGTTGTTATATCTGCTAAAAATAAACTTGTGACTTTGTTAAATAATGTGACTTTGTTAAATAATGTTTAAGAAGTTTCATTCTCAAGCAAAAAAAGTTTATAAATCGGGGTTCAAATGCTTGCTTCTGAAAGTCTTCCCAATTTAGTTACAATTATCTTCACTGTGTCCTTTTTTCATCATCTTACCAAGCACCAAATGAAACAAATTCTTCTGAAATGGTGAGCCACATGAACATTCCTTCCTCAACAAAGTATAATGCCCATTCCCTCTCCTTGTTCAAAAGTAACTGCATTTCTGAAAGCAGGGCTTGCAAGAATAACCTATGCATGAAGAAAAGGTGTTTGTTCTCAGGAGAGGAAGGGAAGGAGCAGGGAGCAACCTTGTCGCTTTTCATAGAAAAAAAAAAAAAAACAACAAAAAAAGCTTTTAAAAAAAAAAAAAAAAAAAACAACAAAAAAAAACAATCCACCACAAAACCACACCTCTGGAAAAGGCAAGTGAAAATGTGACTACACAAGGTTTAGTGCATCTGACTGCTTATCTTCTGTTACCAAGACAGTCTAAAAATGCTCTAACAAAATTTGTGTTCTCAAAGCTGTGCAGCTCTCTTCATGAAATTACATGCCACCTGGAAACTTTAGAGAGATTAACTGCTGCAGTAACTGTTTAATAATGCAGATATTTGATTAACAGAGTTGCAGCTAGGATGTTAGAATTCTTATTAGATTTTCTATATTAAAAATGTAGTCATTCTTGTGGTCTGTTGAATTATTTGTGAATGTCTGGACTACACATGTAGTAGAAGACAGGTGAAGCAATGCATCTATTATGCCATTACCTACACATTTGATTCAAAAGGTCTCTGAAGCCTTTAAAAAAAATTAAAAAAAAAAAATCAACGAAACCTATATTATTCATTTCAGTTCAGTGATGCTGAACCACCACCAAACAGCAAGACTATAATTAAGAATCTGACTTTTGTAGGGAGGAGCTACAGGTGCTTAGTATTTAAAAAAAGCAGCCCTAAATAAAAGGTATCACTTACATGAAATTAAAATAATTTTGAAATATAAATGATCATTTTACCACTTTGTAACTGCTAGGAACAACAACCTGTTTATGGGGAACTGAATTGAAAACAACAAATAGATATAATAATTAATGAGCATATCAGAATTAAAAATATTTTCCTTATACAAGTTATTTAAAATTTAACACCTTAATTCTTACCCTTCTGTACAAAGCTTGCACGCAGTTTAAGTAACATTCTGACCATCCTCACTACCAAAAGGAAGTGTTCAAAGCAAAGATTTGTACACACAATAAGCATTTTCAGATTAATAATCTATCAAAGGGAAGAGTTCCTTCAATCAGTGGAAGAAGTATTTTAAAATCTTAAATCAAGGGAAGGAGGGGGGAGGGGGCAGGAAACGAAGCCTTACATGCTAAATACCAGCTGTAGGTACCTGTATGTAGAATTCATAATTAAGGTATTCCTAACACACAAAACCAGCTCCCAGACAATGCTATAGCTGCTACAGTCCATGGCTTGCTCATCTGAAGTAGTGTCTTTGTTGCCATATTTTACCTTTGTTCCAATACTTTTGTTTATTTCTTATTTCTCATGTGCAGATACACATTTTGGTTGGAGTATACGTCCAAGTCTCAGCCTTTCCTGCTTTTGATTTTTTTTCCTTTTACAGGGAGTTTTTTTGTTTTGTTTTGTCTCTTAATTAAAACTTCACCATTCTGCGTCCCCAATGGCTTTGGAAAATACATAATCTCTTCCATTAAGATTCATGATGCCGTCTTTGAGATGAAATTTCCATTTGTTTTTACTTCTATGGATCTAAAAACAGGAAAAAAAAGTTGAATTATTACTCTGCACCAAAAGCAGGTAATAATGCATAAATAAATTAAGGGCAAGAAAAAAATGAAAATAACTATTAGACATATGTTACTAACTTACTACAAATATATTGAAAATCAGTTCTGTGTTTAGCTACGAAAAACAAAAACTAATTATGCATATAACAGTATTTTCTGATTTCATTTTTTAAACCAGGGACAGCAACTGTCACAAAACCATGCAAGCACAGAGGCACTCCAAAACCCAAAGCATATAGCACATTTCTAAAGGTGGTTGGAAAGGAAGAGTAAGAGCAATATATCCACCTGTGCTACTTTAAGTTGACTAAATTATCTTTGATTACAACAGCCACGAAACTCCACTTCAAAGACAGAAATCCCCGTTTCAACCACTGTAACAGAAAGACTAACGTTTTAAACCAGCCCTGAAAGGGTCAAACACTAAGTTTTATTATTTGCATCTCTTGTCTAAACTACATTCTGCATGAAAACTAGTCCGATTATGTTGTGCATAGATAGAAAGCAGGCCCATTCAACTTTCTACTTTCAGTATTAGAGTTTGACTCTGGGCTTCCGAAAGTTAAGTTTTGCTTAAAAAGCAAGTGCATTATTTAGAAGTTTTTCAGTCTGAAAACCTCTGCGGTACAAAACACACAAGTTGATACAGAATATATGTACTATTCTTATATTCTGTAATTTCTCCTCGATGGTGAGTCACTGCGTATGACTTACATTTCATTTCTCATCATAAAGCGTCACGTGAGAAAAGTAACATTCTCCAGTACTGGGCATGATGGCATGAAGCTTCAATTTTAAACTACAGCCTTCCCAGTTAAAACACTGGCCCTTTTAAGGCTTTGTATAAAATTTTTAATATGCATCTGGGAGATCTGTCCAGCTATTCGCAACAACCCAAGAAATACTAGGAGGGGAAAAAAAAGCAAAACACACAAACAACCCAACAACAACATCAAAACCCCAAACACACAAACAACCCAACAACAACATCAAAACCCCAAACACAATTCATTCCATTCTTGCTCCCCAGCGAGTCCATATTACGGGAGCCTGTGACATAACGGATCTTCAGCTTAAACGGATGTTTCCGTTGACACAGGATAAGACAAAGAATAAACCAACACTTTTATTCATATTCTCTTTAAAAAAATATTTCATACAGAAATAACTCTTCTCTCTTCATGCTCATTCCCAAACAAATACTACCTGACTACAGGAAGGGAGGTTCATCAATGTGGTGAAGAACATCAGAGGAGACACAAGGACGAGAAGTAGTTGTAGTATCGGAACACTTCAATTGTCTTACGCCTACTGAGTAAACATCAATGTGCAGCACTGAGGCTGGTTTAGATACTATACCGTCAAGTCCTACTTCACGAAGAAGCTAAGCCAGGAAGCAGCAAAACACACAATCCTTTTCTTGGTCCAAGACAGCGTGCAGAGCTTAAGTTAGAAAATATCACCAGAACTAATAGCAGCCACGCAAGACAAACATTTTCCCAGGGGTAATAAAAAGTCAATAAATCCCCTAGCAGAGCATTTAACTAAATTTATGTTCTTATGTTTAAAACTAAAGGAAACTGAACAAAATTCAGTCTAAAGGTAGAGGAGTAAATTTTGGAAAAAAAAAAACCCACCACACAAACACAAAACAAAAAACCCCCGCATACTCTAAGCACAGAGTAGATAAATTACCTGCCACCTATCAAAAAAGGCATCAGAAAAAACAAGAGACCACAAGTACAATTAAGCAGCAGGACAAGAAGATATTCAAAGAAAGCAAAGATCTTTCAGAAAGCTGAAAAGCTGTCCAAAAGAGAAAAGATTATCATAAACTTCTGCAGATAAACCATAAAAAATGTAATTAGGTGATCTAAAAAAAACTTAAGAAAATTTTACAAAATTCATAAAATCAAGGAGGCCCCATTGCAACTTTTTCAATTTCCATCAGGAATTCTCATCATCTACTATTAGTGCTGTAGAAGCAAACAACAAAGCAGCACCAGAACAGACATGACCACAGTACTCCATCCATTATTAGTACTATTGTTTGGTCTGTGCTCACTAAGCTAAGCAGTCTTAGGACTGTTCTGCTGCAGTCTATTCTTGCAACAATAAATAAATGAACAAGGAAATGTCTGGCTTAGATATTCTACTTGCCCTTCCAAATGGCATTCAACAAAAATCCCTCACCAGAAGCATCTGAGCTGCCATGAGGTAAGAGGGAAGGTCCTCAGATGAATAAATAACCGAATAAAGATGGGAGAACAAGGGTGAGAGCACCATTTTTACAGTGGAATGACATTATTCCTGAAGAGATTTGTGCTGGCTCGAGTCTGCATGGTTTAAGAATTCACTAATCATCTGGAAAATGACAAAACATCACCGATGATACAAAAGAACAGTTACTGAAGAGCTGCAGAACGGTATTTCTGCCCTAACTCATTGTGTAATAAAACAATGGCGACATTCAATGTATATGAAGGTAATAACGACAGAAAAAACAATTCCAAGTTATACGGATACAAAAAATGATGGGTTTGAGATGACAATTCCAAGTCATGAATGAGATCTCAATGTCCTAAGACTTTTCCATGAGAACATCAGCTCTGTGTTCAGTGGGGTCAAAAGCACACATGAACTATTGCCGAACATTGTTACATCACTTAATAAATTGAAGGTTCACCTGTGTTATGAATAGCTCTGATCCTCTCTCAAACTTATCTACCTGTATTCAAATAAGATACAGAAGAATAAAACAGATCTGGAGAATGAAAGTAAGAATAATCAGATGTTTGGACACAAATAACAACCAAGCAAAGTGTAGCTCTAATTTTAAAGACATGACTAAGGAAGGTTATGATGGTCTGCAATATCATGAAAGGCACCAAGCAAGCAAAGAGAAAACACTCTTCTAAATAAAGAACCAGCAGGTATCATATGAAACTAGTGGGTTAAAACCTAGGTAATTCTCCACACAGCACATAATACAATTATGAAACTTATTGTCATAAGACAAAGTTTATAAGGATTCAAAAAATAATCACATTAATTTCTGACAAATCAAGGAAAAAAATCCTCTGCCAGGTATTTGACACAAAGGCACTATCTCTCCCTTAAGAGACAGCTCTACTTGAGCATCGCTACCTGTTTGGCTTTGTCTCACTGTTCCAGAGGCACCCACCGGCAGCTGATTCAGGATACTGGCAGAGAGAACTCTGCTCAGAACAGCTGAGCTGATCCTGTGTCTTTTATGGGGACAAACTGAACAGCGATTGTCTGATAAGTGAAGTAGTCACTGATGAAGAGCGCATGGCACTAGAGGTTAACGATGGACACTGCTCCACACCACATTCTTAACTTCTAAGGGGGTGAAGATTTCAGAGTAGTTCCTGTTGCTCAACTTCAGCAGCTCCCAAAAAGCTTTTCTGACTGTTCCAAGATCCCTCGCTACCCTCACGAATTGCCTCCAAACTAACAGCTTTGGAGAGGTGCAACGAGCGGCAGCTCTGACTC